TCTATCTATCTATCTATCTATCTATCTATCTATCTATCTATCTATCTGTCTGTCTGTCTGTCTGTCTGTCTAAATATATATATGTATTGTTTTCTATCTGTCTGTGTGTGTAATCATATGTATATGTAATTATATGTATATATATATATATGTACATGTGTATAAATGTATGTATGTATTCAAGCACTGTGTTCTAAATAGTTTTAGATTCTTGAGCTTGTTTAAATGCTTTTAATTTCGAAGTTTTATGTACATTTTGCACATGAAAAAAAATACAATTGTATTAGCTGTTTATGTGACAAAAGAAATCACTTTTTAATTGACCAAGTAAGTTTTTATACTAACAAAGGTAGGGTCGCAAAATGATACATTAAATCACCGATTTCTAGTTTATTTGGCAATTTTCTGGCACCTTTTAGATGGAACACCTCGGTCTCTAAAAAGCCCAGATGTTCTTTTTTTTTAAGTATTTGATGCCAGCAGATTCTTAACCTTCATATAAAAAGCAGTTATCAGAGAAAAGTCTTTATTTCTGGAATCCCTTTGGAGGATTTAGTATTTTTGGGGGTACTGAGTCAATAACGACAACATTGTAATATGAATGCAGTGAGGGCAACTATTTATGTAATATTTGCTGATAAAGCTGTATTTATTTTTAAGATTCTACTTTCTCTTTGAAACCTGTTTTTTTTTTTTTTTGTTGTTAAATAGAGAGATGGAGCCAAAAAGAACAAGTTCACTTTCTTTAAGAATGCTAAAGCATCTTAACGGACGACACACTCGTTTATTCTTTGTCTCCATGCCTACGTTTAAACTTGCAAGTTTTCCGCCTCTAAAATATTTTTTCTGTTTTATTATCCAACCTGTACTCACCTCACTGACGTCTTCCTTTTTTCACCAACATGGTGATTTCTGACGTTTTCTTGGCTCTCCTCACAGGCGTGACGTTCAGGCGCAAGACCTCCCCGATGACATGGACTCCCCGACTGGGTATGTTTAAATTGTGCATTTAGTCATTTATTTTCTTACTGAATAAAAAATAATTCTCTAGAAGCACCACTGGAATAACTAGCTCAGATTCTCTGTTTCCTATTCCAGGTTGTCGATCATAAACAGCCCAGAACTGGATCCCATCATCACAGATTTCAAGTAAGTGTCCTCAGATATTTGAGTCATTCTGTGAGTTTTTGTAAAACTCCTCACCAAATCTGTGTTACAGAGAGCCCTACTTAGATGATTTCACAGATTACATTAAACTGTTAATATATAAAAGTCAGCAAATCATTGTTCATAAATGAGCAGTCTGGGAGTGCCCGTATATCACTATCTGTGCTTTTTTAGCTCCCAGGCTTATGTTTCTTCAACAAAAGCTGTTCTTTCAGCAGGTTTTCACCCCTTGAGCTTACCTTGTCCTCTCTGAACGCCCTCAACTCTGCTGCTGTGTTTCAGGTTACAGCTGCCAGACAGCAGAGATGCTTCAGGGTCAACAGATCCACCAAACGGGTAAGATCGAGCTCTGGATGTTCACTGGTTGTACATTAGGACTAGATTAAAGGAATGCTCTGAAAGTGAATCGGAGTTTGATTGTGAAATGTGAAATTAAACCGAAAAAATTCTAAGAGGTTAGTCAACTACTTGCACTGTGCCACTGAACAAATGTCACGTTTTCGGTTCAATCCAGTCAAAGATACAAGTGGTTCAGCTAAATATATAAATGTTATCCAATAGCTAAGAGTTTAATAAAAGTGCCTACAGAGGGCTTTTGTTATTTTTATTAGAAAAGACAATGCAGCGAAGGTGTACTCATTCACCCAACTCAACTTTTTATAAATGTGACGGCATCAAATTCAAAATGAGGACAATTATCCCAGCATCTTGGCTCCGTTTTCAGATTTAAAGCAACGTTTTCTGCTGTCTGACAACATACGGGAAGATTGCTTCACATCAGCTTCTTTCTGTACAATAACCTTAAATAAATTCCATTTTGCACATAATCTTAACTTGGGAACACCGTTATTTAAAGAGGCCATCAGTTTTAATTTATTAAGTTTCAGATAGCTTATACACATATTTTTTGTGCTGGGATAGCTGCTTTGCATAAGATGTGACGAAGAACTGAATTAATTAAGTGTGTGTGTGTGCGTTTTTTATTTTACATTACCTTGTAGGGACCAATTTTACAAAATAAATCATGCATTGTGGGAACCAACTGCTCTTTATGGGGACCAAAGCCAGGTCTCCAAAAGGAGAAGTCTCGTTGGGGGGTTAGGGGTTAGGTTTAGGACTAAGGTGTGAATTGCAGATGGGTTAAGGTTAGGGTTAGGCATGTACTAGTGTTTAGGTTTAGGGTAGGGTTAGGCTATAGAAAATGAATGGAAGTCAATGCAAAGTCCCCAAAAAGTATGTTTACAACAACTCGTGTGTGTGTGTGTGTGTGTGTGTGTGTGTGTGTGTGTAACCTACAGTATGTTGTCTCGAGAGTTTTTGTGCTCTCACCAAAAGGATTATGGAAATTTAGTAGGGATGCACGATATTGAAATTTTGGCCGATATCCGATATGCCAATACGCTAAAACTCATTTGGCTGATAACCGATACCAATACTGATATAGTTTTCCCTAGACCTTACAGAGACTACATAGGTTTCTTTGCTGTAGAATTAAAATACTACATTATTCTGCTTGGTCTTTGTCACTTTGGCCTGCTACCAAATGCAGATGTTAAAAAGAAGGCTGAAAACGATGTAACACTATATAAATGTATAATATGCATAAAAAACAGCGCCTTTTACATCGGTGAGTTACTTTGATGGAATGGCCGATGTCCGATATTTAACTTTATCGCTAATACCAGCTGATGCCATGCTGATAATATTGTGCATCCCTAAAATTTAGCCATTGTGCATATATATTATTGGAATATTGAATAATGTGCACTGCCCTTTTAAACAGGGCTTAATTTGTAAACCGATCAGTGCTGGAACACAAATAGCAGGCGGGCTGGCAGAGGTGTTGGGTGCTGGGGCGGGGGGTCTTCCCCCAGAAAATTTTGAATAAAGTAGATGCGATTTCCTGCATTTTGTGTATTTTAACAGGTTGTTAAACATCTATGTTTACCTACATTTATAAACGTTCCGCTTCTGTCAAACATCCTCCCCCACCCTCCCCTTATTTGACGGTTCCGAGCCGGACTCTTCTCAGCTGAATTCAATCTTGTTACATGTGAAACCTCCAGGCGCCTGCCTGCAGCTGCCTTTGGGCTCCTGCCCGCGTATGCCTGGTTAGCTCGGCACTCATCCCCACCACGTTTTTAGGGACGGAGATCTTTTTTAAGGGTAGAAGTGTAAATGTTACTTGAAGAGGCATCTGGTATATGATTTTAGCTTGTAAGTGGCTATTGTGTTTAAAATGAGTGTTTATGTAATTATTTTCAGTTTACATATTCAATATAAGTTTTATTCGTTCGTGGCAGTCATATTTGTTCATAACTTTATTATTAGTAAGCCTGAGAGTTACCAGATCCAAGCAAACGGTTACCGGAACGCACCCTGTCAACATAAGAGAGTTCCCAGGATCCGGCTCAAATTAAGCCATGCGTTTAAATACATGAATTAAATGTATTAGTCTGTGATGGGCAATGTTGAATTTTGCCCAGAAGTTTCTAAAAAAAAGAGAAAGAGTTTGGGTTTTTATTGTTCTGGCTGTAATTTGTTCTACTGCAAAATACTGAGAGATTTATAGCATGGCCTCATCTTTACATATCACACAGCACAGAAGCTAGATTAAAATCTCTTCTCTCTTCTTTTATTTTGATATTTCATAACCCTCTGTTTTTCACTTTGATATATTCTCTTACATGAATATGTTAACGTACTGCTGACAGGTACAGATGATAGTTCAACAGATGATAGTTGAACAGATGATTCGATGATACATTTAGGTGATCCCTCTGGTTCTTTATGCAGTGACACAGCCTCAAACCATGACATTTCATAACCCTCTGTTTTTCACTTTGATATATTCTCTTACATGAGTACCTTAACTCAACGTACTGCTGACAGGTTAATTTACAGACCAACCCTGACTTTGGAACAGATGATTGTTGAACAGATGATTGTTGAACAGATGATTGTTGAACAGATGATTGTTGAACAGATGATTCGATGATTCATTTAGGTGATCTCTCTGGTTCTTGAGGCAGTGACGCAGCCCCAAACCATGAAGTTTCCACCATCCTTCTTAGTTTTTACATATTTTATCTCCTGAAATGACCCATTTGCTCAGCAACAGCCTTATCTGTTTTTATTACTAAACCCTGAACATCCCACAGAGCACCATTAAATCCTTAATTAGAAAATAAATGATGCCACTATAGCAAACCTACTAAGAGAGGGTCCTTCACCAAAACACACAGAATGAGTAAGGAGGTCAGAGATGACTCTGATGGAGCTGGGCAGCTCTTCTGCTGAGATGGGTCCATGTGTTCATAGGACAGAGCTAGGCTTCATGGAACAGAGGATTGTAAAATATATCCATTAAGGGGGGAAAACAAGACTATTAGGAGTATTTCCCCAGACATGTGAAAGAAGGTGCCGTGGTCTGGTAGAATTAAAACTGAATCAAAGACAACATCATGTCTAAAGGTAAATCTGCCACCTCTCATCATGCTGACAACACCATCCCTACAGTAAAGCATGGTAGTGGCATCATCATGCTGTGGGGGAGTTTTTCATCAGTGGAAACTGGGAGAGTAGGGTGGGTGTTAGTTACATCAAAAAAGTGGAGCGCTACATCTCTAGCATCTTAGCTAGCACGTCTGTTTTCAACCTTTATTTAAACAGGTTAGTCCCATTGAGCCACAAGGACTTCTTTACAAGAGAGACCTGAAAGTGTGTATTGTGTGCTGCTAGCTTAGCGCTACATCAACATTTGAACAATGTGGCTGTCTGCCACGTGCACCGAGATTTTGTCAGACTTCCTGAGCTCCTGCCTTAGTTGGACAATAGACCTAATATAAAAGCTGAAAATAAAATGTCTAATGGGTCAGTAGACACCTTAAAAATAAACCAACTTTATGGTGTGTTATTATGTGTATTTCCTTTTTGCATAAAGTCCTTTCAGCTTCTGATTGGTTAGTCTAGTCATGAGAAAATGTGAATAAGGAAGTCTGGTTAGTCTGAAACTGTTAACGTAGGAAGAAAGGTGAAGTGCTCTTTAACCAGTTGGTATGTTTCCATCAGGACGATTCCTCAGCTCTGAAGTTTGTTCTGCTTTCACATTTTTCCACACTCAGCTGATAATGCTAATATTTTCTGGTTAAAAAAAAAGAAAAGAAAAGAAAAGAAAAGTGAAACACTTGCAGCCATCATTGTCATCGTTACAACTTGCCTCATGTGAGACTCAAACAAGCCGACTGGTTCAGCACTAGCAGCAGTTCATTCCTCGTGTGTGTTGACACAATAACCCTGCCAGCCATTTCTCAGAAGGATGAATCATCATCATTGCAACTTTCAAACAGATAAAAGGCTTCTCTGCAGCAGACATTTTGGTTCGTCAAAGCTAATAAAGCACACGTTATGTAATTAGTCTAGTACAAATTGCAGTAAAGTTTGTTTTTCTTCCTTTCAAGTGCAAAAGCATCTAAAAACAAGCATTGTAAAGTAAAGACCATCATGTCACAGTTTAGTGTGGAAATGGCACTTTGTGTCCTGCAGCACATTTCTATTTACCAAAGGAAAGGAGTAGAAAAGCTTGAGTCGTTTTGAAACAAAAAACTATTCTTTGCTTCAGCCTGCTGTTTGCAGCTGTTTATCACTTTGTCGCTCCCCCCATGCTTCAGTCAAGATCCCTCAGTTTTTGGAGCTGCATCTGTTTTGTTTCAGGACTCTTCAGTCTACGGTTTGTTCCACTGCAGCCACCAGAGCGGAGCACTCCTGCAGGCCCCCGTTTTGAGCCATTTATTCATTTATTCATTTTTGAGCCAGGCTTCAAAACTGTGGTCATTTTAAACCCTCCTTTTAGTTTATTTTCAAATATGTATATAAGAACAAATCAATAAATAAATAAAGTTCTGTAACAAAAATTAACAAACTGAAACCTATTTGAAAAAGGAGTGGGAAGAAGAAGTACAAACTTATTTAATCCCACCCTTCTCTAAAACTTACCAACGTAAGCGCTTCTGTTTCTTTCACGGTAATGAGTTCAGTAATGACTTAAGCAATAATCACGTTGCTTAGTTATTCTATACAATTCACATAACAACAATTATAAAACAAATTATCATTGATTTATTATTTTTCTAGAAACTAATGTCTTTTTTGTTGTTTTGACCGTTTGACCCATCACTGTATACGTACACCTACACCTCACATAGATACACAAATCTATGTAGAATTATGTATAAGTATACACATGTATACACATATACATGCATATCTACGTAGTTAGCAAAAAATAATCACACACATTCTTTGTCCGTGCATCTTTAAAAATAAAATATTATACC